TGGAGCGGACTACGGTCCAGCCACCGCCTTGTGTGCGCTTGATTCCCCAAGTACAGTGTGCTTGTTTTTGCTGTGAAGAAGTATGGGCCGGCTCCATTGATGAAACGCGGCTCCCATCCACCCGCCTCCTGGTCTTATTCTTGCTGGTTTACACTGGATATAAGGTGTGTGGTTGGAGCTGTTGATGGTGCACTGCAAGCCACCCATGATCCCTATGTAGGCACAGACGTCCTGTGGATGGCCACATTGACAGACAAGTCCGAAACCGGATGTCGCCAACCAGGTGTGTCTGAAACTAGTATCAATGAGCCTAATGGGTTTGTTAAATTAACTTCACCCGACTTCTCCTCTCTTTATTGGTTGAACGTATCCGGATACGCCGATGCAGCACTCACAGTTCAAGCTAGTGTAGGTAACATTCTAATCACCAAGGCTGAGCCATCGTTGCTTGATTGGATTCCGTTGAACAGCCGTTTACGTGTAGCCCGTCTGACGACATCAGCTAATGTTTATTCACGAAGTGGTACAAAACGCTGTTTGTTTGTAATTTCCACTGTGGCTCCCACCGACAGCAGTTTAAATGCTGTCAAGGACACATTCTATTAGGCATTGAACTTGCTACTACACAGTGCTACTAGTTCAGGTATTATAGTACTTGCATGGGATATGAACGCACAGGGTGCTTAACTCCGGTCGGACTGCATCAGCAACGATGGGCGCATAGAAACTGAACTCAGCACATGCATTGCAAAGACCAGAACTGCCTTCTTGAATCTGCGGCATCTTCGACAACATTGAGTTTCCCTCCGTCTGAACGTCCGTTTATACAAGGCCACAATGAGAGTAGTTCTGCTCTATGGTAGTGAAATTGGGCCACTTCGGTCTGAAGATCTGAGGCGCCTTCAAGTCTTTGATCATCGTTGTCTGCGAAGCGTTGCTGGTGTCGAATGGCACCAGAGTGTCTGCAATGATGACGTGCGTAGGCGAGTACAAGGTAGTGATAATCATGGTAACTCACTAGAGCAGCAGATAGAAGTGAATAAGTTACGTTGGGTTGGGCACCAGCTACCTATCCCTGGTCACCGCTTACCTAGGAGGTCCTTGTTTAGTCTGCCAGGTGTAGAATGGCAAAAGGCTCGAGGTGGACAGAAGTTGACTTGGCAGTGGGAAATCAATTCCCTGACGACCAAACTCGTTGCTGTTGGTCCTTCTCGCCTTCCGGGCTAAAGTATATATGACTCGCGTCGTGTTGGCCACAGAGTTTACAGGATATGGCTCGCAACCGACAGCAGTGGCACGTCTACTGTCGTCTCCTTGTGGGATTCCCTGTTGAAATTGTGTTTGGTGCTGAGTTATCTGCGAGGCAATGGCTGAGTATGACGCGGGGCTGTGAAAGCCGGAAGGAAGCTGTCTCGACGATGCCGCCTAATCTTTGCATGATAACCAGCTGTTTGTGACAGTTTGTCGTGTAAACAGGATGTAGGCTCCTTGACGTTGAATGTTTGCTTAGAGCATTAAGGTTTTCCGGTATGTCCCCCTTCTTACCCTCTTATTATTCTTTATTCCATAGGTCATCATGGTTGTATGACACAGAAGCATTAGTGCAAATTACTGATGTACTGCTGTTGTTATTGTTGTTGTTGGCATAAAGTCCCACTCCTATACGGTCACTTTATTTGTCCTCTGCCGGTCTGCTTTGAGCTGTGAAATCGACAGCGCCCTTTCTCCTTGCTCGTTTGCTTGCATTGTTGTTGACGGTGATACAACGGGACTCTGAACAATTGAGATTTGCTCCACTTTACTTAACTGTGTATATTTTATTAGTACCGCATAGATTGTGATCGAAACTTGTTTCGATTTTGTTGCGGGTCCGTCAATAATCCCCGCAAAAACACGCCAGAAACCCCAACAGAATGGCTGTGGGAAGCGGGGTCCAATTCCTCCCCACAACGCAGCAGAGCTCAACCACTCCGGGACGCGGCCCAACTACGCCCCTTCTGACAATGGTCATTTACAAACTACCACCTCTTCGTGGTGACTGTTTTCCTTAACTTAATAACCCATAGCACTGTCTGTGATCGCCCTTTGTCAGTCGTAAACGAGCCTACTGAGGACCATTTGCCTTTTCTTGCTCTTCGCCTCAGTTGGGAGTCGGTCGGGTCACGTAATTGTGTGTGAGTCGTTAACTGGCCATCCTTCGCGTCTAAGCCATTAGCGCGCGTCTATCGTACCCCCCTCTCGTGTGCATCCGTTCCGAGGGGTCAGCGTCTATCCGAACACTTGCGGCTAGGATCGGTCACACGCTCGCTCAATTTTCCGTCTCACCCGGCTAAGCTAGCGTCATCAGGTCAGCGCAACTCCGTTCGATTGGCCAGCGTTACAAGTCGTCATCGTAGGCGTGCTCCAACCGGGCCAGCGACAATCTTATCAGGCGTTACGTAATCGGAACAGTGGCGGCGTTCCCTCAATTATAACCGTGGCGACGCAATTATAACAGATTTCTGGCTCATTTGGCGGCGCGTCAATCAATCTTCGGCCGGTGACCTTTACAGCGAGAGTGGCGGCCTACGCCTCAAGGGCCCAGTGTTCACCTACATTCCTAGGAATAAAAGCCCCGAACGCTATCCCTGTTTATGTGACTACGCCATCTGTTTGACCTAGCTTCACATTCACAGCAGAAAGAGGGCTTAAACAGCTTCTATGGTTTAGCACAAACAGCTCACCTGGAGTGGATATCACTCATCCTAATGCATTGAATGCAACAGAAATGCACCTAGCCCAACCACCTTCCGGAATCTTTCAGCCTGTTCTAAACGAAAACGGAGTTCTGTCAACGTGTAACCTGGGTATTTTAACCCGCGTTAACAAAGGAAAAAGTCGATCTGATCATGCCAATTGCCTCCCACTGACGCTTCTCCCTGTGCTCGCCAAAAGTAAAAGAAACGATCCTCGCGCACGTACTGATGGGCCAAATGGAAATCTACGGTATCTTTGCATTGGAGCAGCACGGGTTTCGAGACGATCGATCATGTACTAGGGATCTGAAATTAGCACCTGAGAACTGGACCGATGCAGTTCATGAGAGGACAGGAACTGATGTCATGCACATGGATTTTCGAAAGCTTTGGATCGCTTGGGTCATAGAATGCTGCTGTACAAATTTCGGCACTACGTCATCGAAGATCGAGCATTGGGATGGATAGAAAACTTTTCTGTGAACAGAAATTGGAGGTAGCGTCCGAACATCTTTGTTTTACCTGATTTTAGTAGAGTACGGCGTACCGCAGGGTTTGATACTTCGGCATCCTTTGCTCTTAGTGTTCAGTAAACATCTAGCGTGATTTACTGTCACGAAAGCCTACTCTTCGTTGGGTAACTTAACCGTTGGCCGGCCGGCAAGGGATGGACGACCACCGGGTCCTCCAGCGTGACCTCGATGCGGTCTGACAATGGTCGGAGAGGAACGCACGGCAATGCAATGTAGACAAGTGCCGCGTTTCCCACATCTGTCTTCGACACGTCTGCATCTATAAACTTGAAGCGCACGGTCTGCAGACAATGCTTTAGAACGTGAGCTCGGTGTACCGGTAAAGATTGACCTCGGTTGTTCCAGGTAGTCAGAATCCGTTTCAAAAAGGGCTAACCAACGTACTGGTTGCCGTAGAACTCGGTCCTTCAGAGACAAATGGTTTATTCGGCAAAGCAAGTTCAGTGAAAGTGACAGCCTGACAAGCGTGTAGGAACCTCCATATAAATAACTAAGTCATTTACATAACTAACGATGCTGCTGCACTCAAGCGATTCTTCTTTTGAAGCAGTTAAACAAATCTGCCCAGACGTACCAATCAACGCGTATATGAAAGATGCGCAGGAGTCAAATCACCTGCTCTGTTCGGTCACGTCAAGTTAGCAGCCTGCATGCTTGCACAATCCTATTACACTGCTCTATTGTAGAGGAGATTTGCGAGTTTGGATTAAACTATCTTCTCTCTGATGCTCATCGCCTGTGTGCTTCCCTACATCGGATACACAAACTAGGCTTGGTATCCCTGGCTGAAACGTGATCTTGCAGCGCTCGGAACTCCCCAACATCGAGCAATGCAATTAGTTAAAGGGTTGCGCAACCTTCCGCACCCGTGACTACTGATGACCATCAGAGTGTTTAGTGGAAGCTACCGGCGGATACGTGGAGACTTTCTACTTGTTTGCCAAATACTGAGAGACCACAAACACTTACGTTGCCACCCAATGATGCTCAGCACGAACACCAACCTCAGAGCATAAAGCCTGAAACTGAGTTAATTACACAGTCGTCTAGATTTCCAGGTCTGCCAATCCTGGAACACCATTCCGAACCAAGTTGTCTGTGCCCCCACATTAGCTTTTGCAAATACTTTTGCATATCGAGTTGAGCAGCTTGCATTTTGTGACGTGAAGGGATAATTCGGATAGACTCAGGCTAACTAGCCTCTTTGGAATTAGGACTCATATTTTCGCACGTTAATCTGTGCAAATGGGTAAGCACTCCGCTTGCTATGTACAATGAGCATTAACCATAATTAATTGTTTTTTGTTCCGTCTGTTACTATCTCACTCCCACAACCCTATTTTCATACACTATTACTCCTTATCTCCACAGACGAGTAATTTATTTGGTCCGTTTATGTTACATTTGAATTGCACATTCTTCCATTACCAACCTACGGCACATGTTAAGCCTATGCATTTTACCCATTATAAACCATTGTTTCATTGTTCTATTATAGTTATACAAAACGTACAAAAACGACATGCAAGTAAGATAAATTAAATTCATTTGGTTAGAGGCCGACTTTGTACGTCAGCATCGATTGGTCAGCTAGAAGTGCATCAATAGGCCGGTAGATATGGATGACTGCTCAGGACTAATTAGACAGGGATAAACAATGCAGGGCTTGTCACAAGTTAGCTTTCAAATTCGGAACCAGGGAAAATAATCGAACAAACTTGCTTCTACTCACTTTTAACTTGAAGCAGACCAGTCCGAAACGAACATCATTCACGATCTCAAAACGATTGTCCGTTTCTATCAGTTGCGCAAATCTGAGTGCCAGTTGATGGTGCTGTAAGGATAACAGGAAAAACCAGCTAAGTAAATAGAACGAACCAGTAGTACTGTTTTTCTTATTGAGGAAAGAACAATATATATATATATATATATATATATATATATATATATATCAATGCCCATAAGTGCAAACTGCGACGACAGCTGGTGGCTTACTTGCTTGGGGTATGCGTATCATACATGCATCACTTTACTAATGAGTACTTTTAGCCGGAACCAACCATTTTGATTCAGAATAAGTTTGCTACTTCAAGTGAATAGTACCATTCTGGCGGGGCATGTAGGAACACTACCGCTCGAAACTGGTTTAGTACCCAATATCTATTGTATTCATCAAGCAAAACAATGTTTTCATGGAAGTGTACAAACGAATAATGAAATCTTCTCTGTTTCTATTTCTGAGGCCTTCTAAGTAGGACCATGTTGTGTCACTACAATGTCTGCTAGATAGTAGAAATTAATGCAAAAATACATTGTCCTTTGGAGGCAGATTTTTCCGCTGACATCCAACGGTACAGTTCGGTGAATACATTGTGACAAACTGCTTATTCATTATTCTGCGTCGGGGCTTGAGCACAAATACTTGAAAATACATGCATTTTCCGTGATTGTAGGACCTGATAAAAACTAAAGTTTCGTTCTGGGATTGCCATAGATACTTTGCTTACTGGAATTTCTGTGAACTAAGATACGCCTACTTAATTTGCGTTTCGCTATACGTGCTAAGTAAAATTATCGAAATAAATTGTTTACACTTGATCCGCCCATTTTCATAAATCCACTAAGTAGACGAACGATAACGTGCATATTTGGTTAAATAAACTTCAAATTGTAATGGGTGGATAGTGGGCGGTTTTAATTAGTCGTTATCTGCGCAATCAACCCATAAACTCTGAGAATCTGTTTCTGAAATGACAAAGTTAAGGAGCATTGTTGCCATGGAACCCGCCCCAGTTTTGACACTAAATAAGACTACCTCACGAAATAATCGTGTAGCAATACTGTACTTTTCTCGTTTTGCTTTGCGCAAAACCTAACCTGAAACTAATATAACATTATACACCTAGACAATCGATGTGGAAGGTTGAACTGCGTGTTGGGTTCTATTGCTTACAATAAGCTATGCCTTTCTGTGGGCGCCTCAGCTAGTCTGAATCACACGGCCGCATTAAGTCTTGCGTCTTCCAGTGTCCCTAGCTAGCAACACCCTTCAGTGTCATATTTTATAGAGTACAGAAAGGAGCAATTCACTGACGCACGGAGCCATTAAATTCGCAGTTAATGTTCGTGTAGTAACGTTTGCGCTACCGACTGCATCTGTACTGTATTTCATTTGAATTTTGTAACATTTCGTTTTTCTAAACCATAAACATGGTAAAGCATCTTGTACTAATCAGTCGATCTCTTCGAAATGTTACTAGCTGGTGTCAGGAATCAGCGCGTCATCGAACAAAGTCCCATTATCGTGAACGCTTTTAAATTAATTTCGGAGAAATTTCGGAAACTAGCATAATCATCGTTCTGGTTGGCAATCTGGCCTCAGTTGTTGCTTTACCTACAGATCGCAATTTGTACACTCGCTCCTTTGCGATGCCTACGGCTGCCTAAAGTGCGAATTACGGTTTAAATATCCACTCGGTGTTGGCATATATATTACCATCGTCCATCATTTGAGGAAATATTTTACAAATCGTACTCACATTACCCGTTTTGGAGAGAGAAGTTCCTCCCTCATAATCACAAACACCTGGGTACTACAGCGAGCTACTCTATCACCATTTCTTTCTTCCAATTAGGTAAGCTCGATGGCAGTCCCAGAAGAGGCAACTCTTCCGAAATACGCAGATGGCACTGTCCTGGGCGTCAATCATTCGACTACTGCTTCTTCAGACAGACTGCAAGATATTCTTAACAATCTTAGCTTTTGTCCAAAGGCCCGCAGCCTGCCGGTCAACTTGTCCAAATGCACTGTTGTCAATTTTGCACTGCGCAGGGTAGATCAAAATCAACAGCTTCTCTAGCAGAACCCGGAATTCAACATCGATGGCGATAAGTTGCACTCTTCCACATCGGTAAAGTGTTTTGGTGTTATGCTGAACTACGAATTGTTCTGGTCACACGATATAAAAGAAGTGTTTGGTTCAGTTCAGTTCAGGGGGGACTGTAAAAATACGATGAATCCCTTAAGCGTTCCTTCTTGAGTGGTCGTCCATCCAGGAGTTGATAGTGGTACTCCGACTTTTCGTTGGATCAAAAACGAAAACACCCGAAAAAGCAACATAGTCCACAAATTTTATGCCCACGTTCCTTGCATTAGCTGTCCCTGGTATGTCAGTTACGTGAAGCAAGAGAGGAAAAAAATAGAAGGTAACGAGTAAGGGAAAGCAGTTAAAAGAAGAGGATAATACCAATGGTGTAGGAAAGTACAGAAAATAGAACCGAAGTATGACGATAGGAATTAGTCAGGAAAAAGGAGAGGTTTCATGTTGTCACCCAAGAGCATCTAGTTGACGCTCAAACCCCATAACTGTAGCTTCCTTGACAACATTTTCTGGAAGCAAGTTTCAGCGCTCCATGACTTGACGCGATAACCGTGTCTCCCCTCTAACTCTATCGGACCGCGGTTTGTCCAGCATCATACAATGTCCGCGCAGACCAGATAACCTAGCAGGACTAAATAGACAGGACAACTCAGGGCCAACATTCCCAGTTAAAATTTGGTAGATTAAGATTTGGTCCCCACTAATCCTTCGATAGTGCATTGAAGGCGTCCCCAAACTACGTAGGCGTTTGGGGTACATTTGTCCTCGTAACCCCTTGACCGTCCTAGTACAGACACGCAACATCCTCTCTAGTGCCCTTTTGTCCCGGACAAGGCATGGTGGACAGGCCTGGAAGCAATATTCTAGGTGGGGTCGCACAAGCGCTGAGAAGAGCTTCACAAACGCCGTAGCGGTTAGGGTCCCGAAATAAGGACGGATAAACCCCAACACCCGGAACCATTTACTAACCGTCTGCTTCCATTTGTCTCGAGAGTATAGTGTGGAACAGTAGACGACATTTAGAACAACCTGATGAGTTATGCGAGGAAAGTCACTCCAATCGAACACATAAATCGTGGACGAATCACACGCTACGTACGCAACACTGAACACTTCGCCCGGTTTCTGGGCAGCAACCACAAGACAGACCATTCCCCGAGTTTATCTAGAGCCCATTGAAGAGCCATGAGACCTCCAGGGATATCAACAATATTCCAGTGCGTTAGGCCATCAGCAAATCAGAGCGATGGTACGTCAAGCTCCCCCGGCAGGTCATTCACGTATACTGAGAAGAACAGCGGACTTAGGACAGAGCCTTGCGGAACGCCGCTAAGGGCAGCTTGGCGAAACGAAAGACTGCTTCCCGCGTGAATACACTGCTCCCGTCCATCCAAAAAAGCTAACACCCACTGGACAGCGTGACCAGATATTCCATATGTCCTCAACTTCAGTGAGAGTCGGGAATGGGGGATAGTTTCAAAGAACTTGGCGAAGGAAATGAACACCACATCCACCACACGTCCACTGTCTATGGCGTCAGGCCAGCTCTCACGAGCTACCAGCAAGTACGTTTGACATGAAAATCCTTTGCGAAAACCATGTTGCACGAAACCAAGCAGGTTAAAGCTATTCAAATGGTTCGCCACTATATCTCGTACCAATTTTCCAAGTAAGTTAACAACCACGCTAGTCAAGCGGACAGACCTGTAATTAACTGGTAGGTCTTTGTAACCGCAAGTGGAAATCGGGTAGACAACAGCTTCCTTCCATTCGCTAGGTAAGATACAGCTGTTGAGTGACTTCTGAAACACTCATGTCAGAGGTCCACTGAGTTCCACTGCCAATGCGTGCAACGATTTTGTATGAACAGAATCTGGTCCAGAATATTAAGTTGGGTTCGCTTCTTCCAGCAACCGGAGAACTTGAGCCTCATTTACAGAAAATTCGTCTAGACATGGGTCCTCAGAGACTCTTGAAGCTAGTTCTCTGCATAGCGTATTTGTTTCGCGAACAAAAACGCTTGAGTGCTACTCACCAAGTATGCATGCCTTGCCATAGTCGCTATAGGCATGGGTCTCATCTCCTCGAAGCAATGTATGTATGGGTGAGTTTGCACCAAAGTGTCGTTTAAGGTAGGTGAAGAATTCCTTGGAATTTGCCGAAGTATTATCAGCTAAGTCTTTTTCATAATGAAGCCGGGCCAATCTAAGATGTAGCTTGCACTCATTACTAACCAACCGATACCTGTCAAACGTGCTGTTCGACGGAGCTATTCGGTACGCTCGCCAGTGTCTAGACCGCATTTTTAGCAGGCCCTTCCCCGCGAAATCTATCCACGGAGGATGCGTTCTCGATTCCCTTCTTTTTACCAGCTGGATGTGAGGTGCAGAAATGTTGAAAAGGTGAGCCTTTAGTTTATCGCAGGCTATGTGAACAGCGTCGGTCTCAGATATCACACAAGGCGACGACCTAGCTTTATCCCGCATCGCTTGGAAGTCCGTGGCATATATGTTCGGATACCAACTTGCAGGTGGGTTGCAAGGCCTGATAAGGGTACACGGGAAAGACAAGCAAACGTGATCGCTTATGCCAAGAGGCGTCATAAGTTGTGTCAAAGTCAAGTAAACGACTTAGCAAAAATAAAATTGACAGCTGCTGATTTCTCATGTACCTAGTGGGGAGGTCAACGAACTGGTGTAGTGGTACGTGCAGCGTTAAGTCCAGCACTTCTGCACCTAACGATCCTAGCGCCGAACTGCAAGGTAGATCAACCCAACAAACCTCTGTGAGGATGAAGTATTCCAGCACCAGACACTTGTTCGCAGAGTGAGTGCGTGAAAACTCAATGATTCCATTGGAGGTGCACATAGGGCTTCTATACACTAACACGACCATAAGCTGCACCCAGGAAGGGCAAATCAAGACTGCGAGAACCTCAACAGATTTGTTGAGA